TGTCGTGGTCGAAAAACTACTTCATACTTTCGTCGGGAATGGATCGAACTGTGAAGTTATGGCATTTGTCACGTGGAGAATGTTTGTGTTGTTTCCAACATGTTGATTTTGTAACTTGCGTAGCTTTCCTACCAAAGGTACAGGCGTTTTCTTACAACTTCTGTTCTGATCATACTTATAGGATGATCGATATTTTCTATCCGGTTCGCTTGATGGAAAACTTCGGCTGTGGTATATACCGGATAAAAAAGTAGCCGTATGGAACGAAGTTCAAGTCAAATTTATAACTGCTATTACTTTTGTCAAAAACGGCAAGTTTGCTGTTGTGGGAACATACAACGGGAGGTGTTATTTCTACACCAGTGATGTGAGCTTGTCGTTGCAAAACTTGAGAATTCAAAACTTTAATTTACAGCAATTGAAATACCACACCGTGGTTGATGTTCGATCATCGAGGGGCAAAAATGCACGAGGACATAAGGTAACAGGCTTGGCAGTGCACGGGGACAAACTACTGGTAAATACATTTTAAAAGAACAAGTATATCTTTTCTTCTAATAGGTGACTTCAAATGATTCACGAATAAGAATGTATGATGTGAGGGATATGGCTTTAACTTGTAAATTCCGAGGTGCCCAAAACGATCATTCGCAAATCCGAGCAGCCTTTTCTCCTGATGGTCGTCACATCGTCTGTGGATCAGAGGACAAGTAACGTATTTCAATACTTCTGAGACTTAGAACTCGTGTTAAGATTTGTATACATATGGAGAACTTCCGATCTTCCCTCAACCTTGTCGGTGCGCAAAGATAGGAATGCTATGTGGGAAAGAGTTAGGGCTCATAACTCACCGGTGTCAGTAGCAGTGTTTGCCCCGAAGCCACAAGTGAGTTGTTAATTCATATGAAATCTCATCCATAATCTCCCTAGGTTTTCATGAACATGCTTGATCGCAAAGAAAGTCAAGCCAGTGGCGAGAGAGTGGGTGGACATGTAGTTGTGAGTGCTGATCTCACCGGCTCAATTAAAATAATGGTGAACCGGCCTAGAGCTACAAAAGCTGGCCAAAGCACATTCTTCGAAGCGGAATAATAATGTGATTTCTCAGAACTTTAATTTATTTTTGTTTTATCCAACTGTGGTCGTCCTGTTTCAATTTTTATTTCTCACTTTCTCACTTTCGACTTCTCACTTCCTTCAATTGCAAGCTATTCATAGGAGCTTAAGAAGTTAACATCTCAGGTTTAGCATTATATGATCAAACACGGTTATTTAAAGAGAAAAGTGTCTGGTGCCTTGAAGATTTCTATCCGGTAGTTGATACTAAACTTTAAAATCTTTTTGTCTGACAACAGACAAAATCCCTAATTAAAGAGTTAATAATTGCTGTGTTTTTCATGAAACCTGTCATCACGGTTCCATACTTTTTCACTGTATTAACGTTTCATCGATACATTTTTAGGATGTTGAGAACTCTACTGAATGTAAGACTCTCTTTCACATCTGCGACTAAGTTTCTGAGCACATCAGTCAACGAGGCATCTACAGCTTCCGGGCCATCAGTTCAAGTGCGTTGAAGATGGATTACTAACAAATTTTTTTGGGATTTCAGGTTGATGAATCTTCAGCTGTGGATGAGATAGATGCCGCAGTCAATCGAGTGATTGTTCGGCAGCCCTATTCCGGAGAAACCATCACTGCTTTGAAGTAAGCTATTTTGTTTTTTCATACTCCTCATGAAGCCTGT